CCATCTGTAAAAAGAGTGGCATCTACCTCAGGCCATGGTTAATCTTTTATATCAGGTCTATTGGAATATATTTCATCCATAGTCTCTAAACAATCATGTTGAAGCATTTCCCCTTCAACAGGCAGGAGTGAAGCAGGATTTTAATGTACTGCAAATCTGTAACTTGATTTAAGAGTTTTCACATAATAAAATCTGATTTTTTTGCATACGGCTATTTGTGAACCAACGATATCCTCTATAGTCCATGATAGCCGTTACTGAATGAGGAGTTTTAACTATCAACTCTTGTCCCAAAGTCAATTTATCAGCTTCCTGGGTCAGCAGGGCCATAGCAACTACAGCACATAGACCAGTTGGCCATCTTTTTGCTACATGGTCAATTTGTTTAGACAAGTAAGCTACTGATCTCGGCCAGGTTCCTAATAGCTGGGTAAGTACCCCCACTGCTATTCCATCTCGTTCACCAACAAAAATGTAAATGGCATCTTCAATTCAAACAAGCCCAAAGCTGATGCTTGCATCAAAGCTTGCTTTTTAACTATGCAAATGTTTGGGCAAATTTGGGGATCCAATTAAATGGTTCCCTTTCACCCCCCTTTGTAACTTCATAAAGAGATCTTATCATTATAGCTGCAAAGCCCTTATTCCAACCACAGTTTTTCTTTCCAACTTTTCAACTTGAGCTGAGAGTTTTCCCCGAATTGTCTTATATTTGAAGTTGAACCCATAGCAGGGAACAAAATGGCTCCCAACCTTTCTCCTTCATTTAAATAAGTTCTGTCTGGATCATCTCCAACCTCTTCATCATAAACTCCCTTTTTAAAAATTGTTTTCTTTTCCAAATCATTTAGGATGGTTATTCTATATATTATCACATCTGCTAGCATTAGGATACCTATCGTGCATGTTCCAACCCAAAAAGGTGGCAAAATCTTTCCTGCCCACTGTCCGCAAATCCGATACAGCCCGGGGTGGGTAACCTTCCCTTTGTTACCAGAGATTTTTTTTTTTTTTTTGCACAGCCTAACGGGTTTCCACCTCCTTTACCATTCTGGCAGGATTTGGTTCCCCTTGACTCTGCTGTGATCTTTCATTTGGTGGTCTCTCAAAGGGGGGTTCCCCTTGTCCCTGCGGTACCTCCCTGCTGGGGGTCCTTGGCTGATCACGGTTTTTGCTGGCAGCTTTTTCCTGGGCCTGTTTAATGTGGGTATCCAGTTCTAGTAAAACAACACTATCAAATTTTTCCCATCCGTTTAGAATGCTCTAAACGGGCTAAGAGGCTAATGTCCTCGGAAGCCTCTGTTTTAAATACATGGAGAAGGAGATTGCAATTGGGATACTGACCAAGTTCTATTTGGTGAGTATGGAGAGGGTTTCCCTGATCTTGTCCACCTCTCATCTCTTTCCCAAGTGATACATGCTGGGGCCTCCGGTGAGATCCCTTTATGTGTCACTATAGCTTGTTCTGGATCAAGTAAGATTTCAATCATCTCATAATTTTGAGGCTGTAAGGTGCTCCATCCTTTTTGACTTAATAATGTTCCAACCATTAGTGGCCATCCCTCACGCTGGGAAGTAGGCCCATGACTGCAAATCCAACACTCAGTAACTTCTGTCTCCTTTGCTATATCCTGACTCATCTGATGGAATATGTTTTATTCCCATCCCCCCTTGTATTACCTTCGGGATGAGTACACTTAACTTAATCAGGTAATAAATATACCACATGCCTACGTGAATACGCTTTCCCCCAAAAAACATGCCTATAATTGGAACACAACCACACCAACCCCAAGATAATAAGGAGTCCCACAATAACACACTCCCAACCCTGAAAGTCCAATCTTCTTTCTTCTTACAGCCTTCAGATGTTGGCTCTCTCTCTTATTCAGAGCAACTTTTATCCTCTTATATTTTTAAGTCTTTGAACTATCTTCTTATTGATGTACGATGTAATTAGTTCTTTATTCAGTCGATCAACTCCTAAATTGTAAGTCAGGACCCGTCACTGTATGGTCTCCTTTTTAAGCAGGCTTAATTCATCCGCAATTTTGCACTCCCTTGTAGCAGTGGGAATTCGTCAAGCAGTAGACCCTTTCCACTTTTATCACAGGGATCACACTTCCAAGATTTTTCCAGCCACTCTGGGTCTTCTAACACAACAGAGGATACTGTAACAGGCCAATGTAGTTATTTAATACCATTTCCAAAATCTGTACTTCTTTTCTTAATGCTTAATTCCCCTTCACTTCCACATCATATTACCCTCATCTATCTTCATTCACCTATCAATTCAGTTGCCGACATTTTTGGACTTTTAAGAGGGGGTGTACATGTCAATTAATAAAATATATTAGCAAATATCTTCATAACATTCAATTTGTCACTGCTCTCCCCACAAAATCTTCTATGTTTGAATGTATCTCAAATTGTCACTACCTTTCTCCTGTATGGGACTAGTTTCCAATTTTTCTTTTTCAAAAAGTTTCCAATTTTTCCTTTCCCTTTTCCTAGTGAGGGCATTCAAGTTGGCCATTCTTGAATACTCTCAACACATAATAACTAATTTCTCTTTTAACCCATCAAATATTTAAACACATAATTAAACATAATCAACCTCACATAACAGTCTTGATGCATCCAAATCTGTCTTCATACATGCATTCACTTATTCTAAACTGCAATATTTCCACACATTTATCTAAACTTTCAAAAAGGGAATCTATTCATTCACATCTCAATATTTCAGGTTTCTATTATTAAGCACATGCTAGATCTTTACATTTCTCTTCCTATTATTTCATCACCTACTGTATCACTTTCTCTATATTCTCTGGCTACATTTCTCCTTTCAATTCTACCTTGTCCTAGGCAATTACACATCTTGGTTTTTCTCCCGTATTAACCCTATTCTCTTATTCTGACTTGCTTTTCCCTGCTTTCCCTACACATACCTTCTTCACATACCTTTTAATTTTCTTCTTGGTTTTGCTTACCCACATGAAAACATATAGACTTGGCATTTTCCATCATCATGTGTATTTTTCCTGAATTTATCCTCTTTTTCTTTTTATTTGAAACCTGTAAAGATTATATATTTTTTCCCAACACAAACAGTTTCCTCACATTCCTTTTTGGCTAGCCATCTACATACATTCAAGTTGTCCAGAAAATGTAAACGAACATTTTTCTCCTTGTCCCAAAAGACAGGCACCATTTCTCCATATTATACGTAATGTTTCCTTTTTTGTCTCATTTTTCTCATTTTTCATTTTTCTTTTTCTTTTCCATCTTGGCTTTTTCCCGGAAGCCTGAAACCATTTGTCTCTTTTCATTATACACATTTCCACAACAAAAACAGCATTGATACACAAATGTGTGCATAGGGTTGCAAAGCAGCAAGAAGGGGTAAAGCATATGGATACAAACAACATTAACCACAAAACACAAAACAGACTTATCATTTTCCCCCTGAAAGGGTATTCCTCCAACCTGTGAGTGTGATTTCTGTAGCGAAAACAATCACTCGGGGGGTTTTCACTTGATTTCTGCAGCAATCCCACAGTGAAATATTCCCCAGGTACTTCCAATGTACCCCTTTTTAAGGCCTTTTCCTTTACCTGTGCCATGGAATCAAAGCTCTCAATGTACCCCAGTCTGGAGGCAGGGAAGGCGAAGATCAGCCGGGTCGTTTTCTCTCAATGGGTACCCGTATCGCCCCTTCTGATCATCGTCTTACCTGACCCGCTGAGTGGAGGCCATCAAACCCTCAAAAGGTTTCATCTTTATTCCTCTCCTTGTTGGCTCAGATCCCGGACGAGCCCCCATTTGTTGCGGCAGATACTTTACCCGAGATCATTTTAGAGCACAATCAAGCAGGAAGGAGACGGAGACTGCAAATTTGATTCCAGGCATATTTACTATCATGATAGGACGCTCAGAACAATCTCTGAAGCGTACTAGAAGTCAGTCAGCTTACAATATTTATAGCAGAAATCCACTGGTCTTAGACATGCGTATAACTGTCTTGACATTTACACAGATATAAACATTAACAGAGGTATTTCGCATTACCTTTTCCCATACATCACAATGACATATTATATTGACGTACTTATAATTGTTTCAAATCTTAATTATTCCCATATTCGTAATATATCTAAAGTTACCTGCTATTTACCTCACTGAACCACCAGATGCTGCTCTGACCTTTTCCAGTCTTAGATCCATTATCTACACAAGTGTCCTTGTCTGGCTGCCAAAACATTCCCTTGATGATAAACATCTCACTTTATTATTGTTTCCCAAATGTCATGTTCCCGTTAATATTTAACTTTCTTGATCTCTGAAGCCCTTATTTTAGTCTATGGAACATTTAGCTTCTCCCTGCCGCAAACACTCCTTCGCTAGTATTTCAAGGTAAGTTTTCCTATATTCATTTTTTAAATATATTTTTATAATTATTCTTTTCCGCTGACTGCTACAGTCCAAGAAAATGCCTCTATTTAATTGATGGATTTACCTCAAGTGGGTGATTTAAGTCAACATTTACATAAATTTTATTGCTTAAAGTGGTCCACTCTACTTGAGACCTATTGAATTTTGGCCTTTGTCCTAAATGTTATAGCAAAAAAGTGAAGAATTTTCCACAGAAGTACTACTTTCACTATCAGAAAAAGCAGTCAATTCTTGACCTAAAATCTATTAGTGCTACAACCACAAATAGCCCAATAGTAAAGGTGGGAGTATAATAGAAGTCTCCATGAACTTACATAAAATAATTTCAAATGGGACAATTAATTTGACTTATTGTATGTTTCTATACTGATGTAGCAAAACACCTTCTTACAACAGTTACCATACCAGCCACCTTGAAAATATACATAAAATGAGTTAGGCCATGCATCCAAGTTACAGGCCATATTGGTTGAGTTTTCAAATGACACCACCTGTGCTGTATCAGGCATATATTCCCATCCACCAGAGTCAGAACAACATACCTGACATTTTCATTGAGAGTGTAGAGTTCATTGTTTTGTAGGCCTCCCCCTTTGAACACATTGATCACTGCTGTTTGAACACTGCCAAATAGAAGCAAGACGGTTAGGGCAGCCATAAATAACAAACATCGGGTGTGATTTACACCAAGCAATGAAATTGCAGTCAAGAGCCATGTAAATATTTCAGTAAGGAGTGAAGGAGATTAATTGTCTTGAAATTGCTTCTGTTTTTTTCCTTCCTACCTGGAATCACCACACTTGTTTGCTTATGGCTGCCAATAAGTAACAGAGCACCAAATACAATTTATACACACACCAAGGGACTAATACACAGTCAACCACACATGATCAGACTTTTAAAGATCCAAGGCAACCTACTGGCATTCTGCAGCTATTATTCAATGCTGTTACATGACCTCTTCAGTAGAAGATTCACAAAATAAACTTTTGCCACCATACGGTCAAAGTTATCCCTGTAAACATGAAGACAAGGCACCTAAAATTTGATTAGATATTACAAAAATAATACTAAAATAAGACAGAAGGGAACAAGCATGCTGTATGGCCCACAAATTGCAAATGTTCTGATCTTCTGGTCACATGCTCAGTTCTAATGAGAAACTGAAATCCATGCCATCACCACTGCAAGAAGAAAATTAGAGAAATACCCTCAAAAATTTGGAACACAATAGACCACTGAAATAAAAAAATGGCAGCCTTTACCAAATCCCAAGACACTTACTGACATCAGTCCAACTTTGTATGCAACTATTTCCACCAACCTCTTGATCTGTCAAGGTAACTGGTGTTACTGGCTATAGTAATAAATCTTACATGTCTAAAAAAGAGAAGAAACTAGAAGAAGCCTAAGAAATGATTGAAGCAACCAGTCTTGATAATAGGAATCATCTGATGAAGGATGTACCTGTAGGGAACTATTTCAAAGAGCCATAACTGAGTGGTAAAGTACTTACTTTGAATGTATAACAATTAAGATTCAATTCACGGCTGTTTCAAGTAAGAGGACTAGGAAAATCTCTTCCCAAGATCTTGCAGAGCACTATCACTTGGAGGAGACAATGCTGGACTAGATAGACCAAAGGTTTGATTGAATTGTCATTTCACATGTTTGAGCCTTCTTTATAACACTGAGACCAGGATTACATTTAAAAAGAAGATCTCTATTCCCACCTCATGTCTGCAACTGAATATGCACAACATGTATATTGCTGTTTACATGCAGGCAGTCTGAAGGTACATAATGAAACATGTGTATGGTGGGTGAAAATAATAAATAAATAAATAAATAAATAAATAAATAAAAGAGATTTTCTGAGGCTACAAACATTCATGCTGCATGTGGAAGATCCCAACATGTGAAAGGGATGAATATAAGGCAGTTCCATGGTTCATATGGTTCTTCTCACCTATTCCATGCAGAGTTAGAGCTGAACTGCAGAGACTGCCGAGCTGCCAGGAATCGTGGTAAATCACTCAGCACCGGGGAGCTCATGAAACGTGGCCGAGGCCTCCGGAATGAGCCCATCTTCTGAAAATGGAAAAGAATAATCGGGGCTGTGGTGGAATCCCTGGTCATTAGTTCAGGTGGAAGGAAACTGAGAAATGTTCTTGTGGCAAAAGGCCAACAGGCCACTTTCAAGGATATAGCTAGGTGGTTCCTTCGATGCCTTCTGAATCAGAATTCACCCTGTTGCAAGAGGGTAAAGGAATATATTAAAAATGAATGTATTAAACAAAAGTATACCTTTTGTAAGACATATAACCCAATGTTATACATATAGATGGTGGGGATCTTCAGTTCATATATGTATGTGTTATTGTTCTCATATTGCATGAATTACATACCATCACCTCTGTTGCTGACATGGCAGAGACCTAGAGTCTCAGAACAGCTGAATTCTTCTGCAAGTAGTGGAATCTAACAAACTGATTCCCTGATATTATTATAAGCAATTCCCTGACATTACTATAAGTTGCCTACATTGATCACTTCTTCCAGGTGAATATGTGTGGGGGCTGTTCGTTTTGCATTTATTTGGAATGATTTTACAACCTGCATGTTTGTAAAAACCCAGAAACATTTGACATCAATATACAAGACATAGTGCCAATGCCCTGGTTGTTTTGCCAGTGGAAATTTCCTTTCCAAAGTTGAGACAGTTCATGCCTCTCCCACTAGGAATGAGTACTGTCACTATGCCAAAGGAGATTCATTGTGTCATTCAATCTGGCCTTGTTTTTTCAGACTTAGCTTTCACTCATGGCAAGACAATAGGTATTTCATATCTGCTCACATTTCCTTTAATATCAACAGTGGCTAACAAAAGGACAAGCAGCAAGCTTTTTGCACTTTCCTGTGGAGAAATGATGTGATTATGGTCAGAAGCTGAAGTCCTTGGTTCAGTTTTTGTTGAGGAGCAACTGAAGATATTCTTTCAACTTCAGTTTTCCCTAAATTGCAACATGGGGGAATGAAAAGTTACACCCCATCCCATTTTGCAGACCTCAGCAAATCACAGAGTGGTAAATGGCAGAGTTGGCAAAGTTTCATTCATGTGTAACTTTGGTATCATTCAAACTAGTAGATATCAATCCTCAGGGGCTATTGGATTGCAGCTCCTAACAGCTCAACCAGTAAAGAGAACAGTAAGGAATGATAGAAGTTGTCAATTAGCAATAACTGGAGGGCATCAAGTTGCCCATCCCAGTTAAAGTATTTGCAAAGGATATCAGTGTCATTCTGAAGCACACAGAACAGACCATGTATCAAAATATTTTCCCTTACATTTGTAACAACAATCATAGTCTACCCTCCACATTCACTGAGACTAGGGGCAGAGAATTTCTGTGAAAGTGAAAAACCACGAATAAAGTAATTGCTTTTTTTTAACCTGAGAACACCTATCCAGGAAGTTCTAGGTCTTCTAACACAACTCTATGTTAGCTGACCATAGAATCAAATTGGAGGAGATAGAGATTCCCAGAAAGGTGTTCTCTCTAGAAATCTTTGGATCCTCCAGTATGACTGGATGAAATTGACCATAAAATCACACAGAAGGACCTAGGGAGAACATTTTAAATCAAACTGTGAATAGTCAAATCCACAAAAGTCCAAACTGAGAATGTGGTGGGATGACTGTATTTTCCTTACTGTATTTTCCTTACACTATAGCATTCCTTTCATTTTAAGTTTCCAAGATCCCCTTCTCAAAGTGGCTTTTTTCTATAAAGTCCTTTATTCTTAGTCATTTTCTGGTCAAGCCCATTCCTCGGACAGTATTCTGGGTACTGTTCCATTATCTAGAGGGAGGCCACCAGGGGGCACTCAAGAGAGAAGGCTAGTCCATTTTATGGGGTGGAGGGTGGGTTGAAAGAGGAAAACCATTTCCCCTGTTTTCCTGTTATATTCATGTGCCTGTCGTGGAAACAACCCTCATTTATGATATGAAAATTGCAGAGGGGGAATAACCAGAGAAAATGGGGGAAATTGTTTTCCTCCTTCAACTTCCCCCCTGTAAAATGGACTGTCCTTCTCTCTCTAGCACCCCCTGGTGGCCTCCGCCCACTAATGAAACAGTACCATATTCTGTACTGTGCTATTTAAACTGAGAGGTTATGTTTGTGACTGAGAGTCATTACTACAGTATTAGGAGTTTCTGTAGTTTTCTTGATAAGCTGGCACTTTTGGCTACTAAAAATTTACAGCATAATAATGGAAAGCAATGCTCATTTCGCTGCTGGCAGTCATAGGAACCAGCTCTCTTAAAAAGATACATACACATTTAGTCAAAAGTAATTTCTACCACTAATTTTCAAATCCATCAGCTGAATTGCTATAGTACTAATGAGAACAGCAAAGCACTGAAGCCAGAAGTCTATTAGTCACAGGAGTTGCTTGAGTCCCATAAATTTATTCCCACTGGCACATTGGCTGTACCAACACAATGGAGCCACATAAAAGCTGCTTTGCCCTTAAGTGAATAAAAAAATGCAGCCGACTAACTTACTAAACAAGCCCCATCAGTTCATTCATTCAGGTTAAATTGATATTTGCCCAACTTGACATCAGAGGAATTGTGATTTAGAACAACAATAACAAAACATTCTTCACACTAATCCATCACAAGCCCATTCAGTTCAGCTATCTGCATAGTTCACTGGGACAAGATGGATTATACAGTTCCCTCTTTGAGAAAGCAATGGAAACACAACATATTCACACACACGCACAAATATGACTGTGAGAGATTGTATTTTATAATTCTGGCTTTGAACAAAAACTTGTTGATGTGTGCCTTCATGCTGTTTAAAATGTATGGCATCCCTAAGACAAACCTATCGCATGGTGTTCTTGGCAAGATTTGTTCAGAGGGGGTTCACTTTTCCCTTCCTCTGAGGCTGAGAGAGAATGACTTCCCCAGTGTTATCTAGTGTGTTTCCATGACTGAGCCCTCACATCCAGATTCGTACTTTAGTGCCTATACCACAATATCACACTGGCTCTCTGAGCAAAAGAGTAACAACACATATTTACAAAAATCATTTAAGGTATTCTCTAGTAGGCCTCTAAATTCTCAACTATTTCATACTTACATATCAGTAATGCAATGATAGCAGTTTGTCCCTGCTACAAGAAAAAATAAATATCCCTCTACTATCTTCCCCATATCTAATTGTTGCAAAAGTTTGGAAAGGACAAAATGTGTTGGTTTTGTCCAAAATCAAGAGTAGCATTTTCTGCACAGGTTTCTTGTGTAAGAAAGTGATTTCTGTACAGCAAACCAATTTTTGACCAGAAAAAAAAACTGCATAAAAAGTTATCTTCTTTGTCAATAACCTCTTTATAACAATTTGGGATCTTTAAAAATGAGGGGAAAACTGCACAGAACCATTTTTCCTAATATTCTTTCCCAGAGTTTCCCAAATGTGAGAAAAACATTTTTCAAATCCTATCAGTGATCCATCCTTGAATATTCAAATGCTTTATGAAATGAAAACCTTTGTGAGCAAATATGTGGTTTGTAGTTTTATCAAAAACAAATGCAAAAACAAATAAAAATTGCAACAAGTGCTGGTTTAACTCAGTAAGTATAGCAGGCCCTTGGCATCTGCTAAAATCTGGTTCCATGAATATAAAAATACACTGGATACACAAGTCCAGTTATATACAATGCCATAATAAAGGTTGGGCTTTTCTTTTAGCATTTTCAAGGTACATTTTTTTAATACATGGATGCAGAATATATGTATATGAAAGGCCAACCATACAGCTATTCTTTCCACAAAGAGGGGTGATATATTTGCAGTATTTAAAGATAACTAACATGCAGTATTTAAAGATAAAGACATGGTCCAAAAAGAGGTAGCAATCCTAACTTAAGTACTACAATCATAACCTTCATGCAACACAGTGGATAAATACAGGCGCTTAAAAAAAAAATCTCCAAATTCCCAGCTATTATAATACTAACTGCAAAGGGAGTTATCACATGAGGATACTGTACCATTTTGGGGAACTAGGAAAGTTCTTTCTTTTTGTTAAACGAATTCCATAGTTCTAAATAGTATGACTTTAATGGAAGACCATGATCAAGTAGCCAACTCTGCTCTCCTTCTCTCTCAAAAAGAGGGGGGAGGGGGGAGAGAACTCTTCATACCTATTTTTAAGATGGATAGCTGTTAAATCTCTCCATATATTGCCAAAACTTGTCATTGACTCCAGATGGCATGCACACTAATGATAAAAAAATCCCTTTATACTATTTTAAACCAACAATGATTCGGCAATACAATATTTAACATAATCTGTTCAAGCTACTTTTCGGCTTTCTTTCTCCCAATATTGAATTGCCAACCCCTATTGTTTTCTTCATAGAAAGTGTTGCCAAGTTCAGTGCAAATAAGAATGGGGAAAAGATCAACTCCCACTCAGCTGTGAAAACCCATTGGGTGGCTTTGGGCAAGTAACGTTCTCTCAACCTCAGATGTAGGCAAAGAGAAATGTTGCCAAGACATCCCTTTGATAGAGTGACCTCACCATATGTGAGGTGACCCTATCATTATTATTATTTTTTAAATGTAATGTTACAAGTTGCTGGCTTGTGGTACAAAACACACTTCAGTAGTAAGGCTGCAGACACTAGTTAACTGTAAAATATTTCAAGCAATCAACAGTACACTGCAAAAAGAGAGAGATCTCTTATTAAAATAAAATTGTAATGTAACCTACAGCCCTTCCACGCAGTCCTATATCCCAGAATATCAAAGCAGAAAATCCAACAATATCTGCTTTGAACTGAGTTATCTGAGTCCATAAACAGATAATATGGAATTTCCTGCCTTGGTATTATAGGCTATAGGGCTGTGTGGAAGGGCTCCTAGTTATGCTTGGTTACTGCAAAAAAAGGAATCAGTTATGCTTAGTTCTTTGTCACAAATTACTTGCAAGCTATGCTACAGAATATAGTACCAAACCACATTTCACAAAGAATTGCTATTTCTTCCCACCAAGACTAGGAATTTTCCAGGAATGCAGAAGCAAGCAAATGTGAAATGTTATACTCCAGCACCATCTTAACAACAAATCTAATCTTGATGTAAAATTCAACTTCCTCTTCTTATTAACAATTTACCACACTTTTTATTTCCAGTGCTTGATCTGTAGCATACAACAAACCATACTGGTTA